TCTCATATTTTATTAGATACCTTGTAACCAACAAAACATTGGACCCACAAATTTCTCTGTGATTGTTATTTAGTTAAGAGACCCGGAAGGATAAGATATACACTTGACCTCGACCTCTTTCCTTAGCTATTGTTTGATACCTTGGTTCTGTTCGACAGAGCCTGTACATTTCTTCGCTATACCAAAATCAAGTTAATGTAAAAATAATTTAAAATTGTTTGTTTAGAAGACCTCTATCGGAATATTAGTAAAAGAGTGAGAGAAATATACTCATTTATAAAAATTATTACATTACGATATTCTGGAACCAGAATATCTTCTTTGTCCAGTATTTTTACATTACCGTGAAAAGATATAACAGGAATAAACTAGTACATTATCAAAAGCTCTAGAGAACATTCCTTAATAACGGCATAATCGAGGGCTTATAACGCTAGAAAATTTGGGTTTTAATACCCGAGGTAGTCAGACCACAGATAGCTCGTTGTGAAGCCTTGCGCTTAGCAACAAATAAACAATTTTTAAAAATACTTTCTTAAGTCTGGAAACCAAATTGTTTTCATTTCTAGGCCTAAATATTTGCGATAAAAATCACTTAAACGTATTGGTTTCGAACGTTTCGCCAGCTTTAGGCGTTCAAACCGTAATAGTATTTCAGAAAAAACGTTTGTCTCTCATTGTTCAATGTAAATGACAGGATCAGGTACTGAACAATAGGCTTCTCACCAGGAAACAAAAGTTAGATCTGTAAACGCTATTTTTACGCACATATGATTTGGAATATAAATGGAAAATTTGAGAGGTGTGTGAATAACAACAACACATCGACAGTTTACGTGTTTTTTTTTATATATCTCAAATGTTACATTTATCGGTTTCAAATATTTCACTTTTTTTTTTTCTAACGTAGTTCCGTAAGGTGGCCTCTTCAAGTCGGTACACAGTTGTTACGTCACTTCAATCTTTTGAATGAAATACTTAGTATTCGTAGTTACCGTTAGGGGAAGGCACATCCGTCACCTGGCTGACTTCCATCCTTTTCCATTGGCCACGTCGTATCTCCCAACTGCACGTGTCCTGAGAGAAATCACACTCCAGACTTTGTAGGCCAGTGACCTCTGAAATATTTGTTGTACATAAGTGTAATACTCGTTTCATTAAAAGTCTCTACTTACCCGAATATCTTAAATTTACAAAAACAAACGAAAAACACTACTTCACTTAACAACCTACAACATTTGAAATATAAAAAAGATACATTTTCTTGCAATAGTTTATCATATTATTTCTTTTGAAAAGTGTTACAGATAGCCATAATATTAATCTGTTTTGGGAATCATGGCACTGCTTACTGCATTGGAAAAGTATAATCTGGCACGGCGGTTTCGAATCCCCATCCAACCAAACATGCTCGCCCTTTCAGCCGTGGGGGCATTATAATGTGATGGTCAATCCCACTATTCGTTGGTAAAAGAGTAGCCCCAAGAGTTAGCAGTTGGTGGTGATGACTAGCTGCCTTCCACATGATTAAAATGGTTATTAGTTTTAATGCAGTGCTGGTAATAATTTTAACCACGTCATTCTTTATGTATCCAGCACTTCACTAAAACTAATAACTACTTCGAAATGGTATATTTAAGTGTTTTACACTCACAAAAAGAAACCTATCATTCTATACGTATGCGAAGAATTATATTGTGGCGGAATGCTACAAGTTTTTCACATACGTCTCTGAAGGTTGTGATTGGTTCCTCTACCCTGGCCACGTCTCTGAAGATTGTGATTGGTTATTCTACCTTAGCTACGTCTCTGAATGTTGTGGTTGGTTATTCTATCCTGCCTACGTCTCTGAACGTTATGATTGGTTCCTCTACCCTGGCTACGTCTCTGAAGGTTATGATTGGTTCTTTTACCCTGGCTACGTCTCTGAAGATTGTGATTGGTTCTTCTACCCTGGCTACGTCTCTGAAGATTGTGATTGGTTCTTCTACCCTGGCTACGTCTCTAAAGGTTATGATTGGTTTTTTTACCCTGGCTACGTCTCTGAAGGTTATGATTGGTTCTTCTGTAACCTAAGACCTTCTAATAATTTGTGTAGATTTTACTCAAAGTTCAAGTTTGGTTTGAATTTCGCGCAAAGCTACACGAGGGCTATTTGCACTAGCCGTCCCTAATTTAGCAGTGTAAGACTAGAAGGAAGACAGCTAGTCATCACCACCCACCAAAGCTACACGAGGGCTATCTGCGCTAGCCGTCCCTGATTTAGCAGTGTAAGACTAGAACACTCTTGGTTGGTCTAGTACGGGTATCCAGCACTGCACTAAAACTAATAACCACTTTAATCATGTCACTCTTCGGTTGGCCTAGTACGGGTATCCAGCACTGCACTAAAACTAATAACCACTTTAATCATGTCACTCTTGGTTGGTCTAGTACGGATATCCAGCACTGCACTAAAACTAATAACCACTTTAATCATGTCACTCTTGGCTGGTCTAGTACGGATATCCAGCACTGCACTAAAACTAATAACCACTT